GCTCAGGCAATCCACTCACCTTGGCCTCCCAAAGCGCTGGGATTACAGGCTGAGCCACCCAGCCCGGCTAAGATGCATTTTTAAAACAATCTTACTTTTGATCTCACATTATTTTCTTATTGCCTAACTTGTAGCCACTTATTTTTAAATTGTTATATTTTTCTATATTGAACATATTCCTTGAAAGAGCAGACTGAGAGTGGGAAGCCATTTTTCATATTGCTCTTAAACCCTGACACAGTGATGAGAAAGTAGAAGCTACACTTTTGGAGAAATGTACACTTTAGGTAAAATTAACTTTAACGACTTTGTCTTTTCAGAAACAGACTTCCAGGTATCAGAGGTCTCTCATAGTGGCAATCAAGCTTGCCTAGAGTAAAGGGAATTTACAAGGCCTAAGGCATCATGCATTGGACAAGGACTGTAAAAGTCATGAAACTTGTAATTACAAAAGTTATGACCACTCAGAGGAGGAGCAGTTGGGGGGTTTGATCTTCCAGTAAATTGGGCGCTGTCTACAAGGATGCCAAGGATCCCCCAAAGCTACCCCCTGGGAATGCCTAGGAGATAAGGGGAGGTGCACCCTCCACTAGCTCTAAGGAATGTCGTTGGGGAAGATGCAGGAGAATTAGAATCCTTGTCACACCCTTCTCTAGGGGCTATGATAATGTGGGTGAACATTAATGGGTCTCTGTGTCATAGGTTCTCCAAGACATCTACAGGTGGTTGATAAAGAGGTCATGGCAGTTGCGTGAAACATCTCCAAGAAAAGGATTTAAGCCAGGGCTTTGGGGGGCTACGAGACCACACTCACCTAGAATGTAGGCCCACTCCCTGTCTGTGGGGGGGTGAAGCTTTTCTTAAATAGATCTTTTCTTCTCTCACCTCTGTGTGTCGCAATTCTTTGCATTTACTCGGATCTCTGGGTTGCCAGTGTGGGACCTCCGGCTTGCTGGCTCCGAGGGTGCCGCGCCTCCCTGCACCTCTCTCCATCTACCCTCACCCTGTCCGTCCGTACCCTAACATTCCTAAAAGGTATCTTACTTCGTTTCTGGAATAAAGCAGAGGATAAGTGAAGAAACACATACATAATATTTGTTTTCTTGCAGGGAAATGAAATAACAGAATAATCAGGGTGAAATTACTTGATTTGAAGTAAAATCTATTTTTTAGTTGCCCTCGGTGTGCTTTCCAACATGGAGAAAAATATAGTGCATTTCTGTGTTTTTAGGAAATTATTATTTTTACAGTATAACATTTGTTTTTGATATTGGCATTCAAAATATTACCAACTATATTTAAATACATCTATTAGAACAACTTAGACTCCAAAAGCTTTTACTTCATTTATTAATTATTCATTTTAAAGTAAACTGGTAGTAAATTTACCAGTGAAAATGGAAATTTAAGAGTCACAAGAAACTTGTTTCCTGTTTATTAACAAATAATGTGTCTTTAATTTAGTTGGATTATTCTGTAGCTCTATAATAGAGATTAATTTTCTTTTCTTTTTTTTTTTTTTTGTGAGTTGGAGTCTCACTCTGTCGCCCAGGCTGGAGTGCAGTGGCACGCCCACAGCCACCGTAGCCTCAACCTGCTGGGCTTAGGTCATCCTTCCACCTCAGCCTTCTGAGTAGCTGGAATATTTATTTATTTATTTGAATTGGCACCTCACTCTGTCACCCAGGCTAGAGTGCAATAGCACACTCAGGGCCACTGCAGCCTTGATCTTCTGGACTCAGGTGATCCTTCCGCCTCAGCCTTCCGAGTATCTGGAACTACAGGCACGTGCCACCACGCCCAGCTAATTTTTTGATTTATTGTAGAGATGAGGTCTCACCAAGTTGCCCAGGCTGGTCTCGAACCTGTAGGCTCAAGCAATTCCCTCACCTCGGCCTCCCAAAGTGCTGGGATTATAGGCGTGAGCCACCGTGCCCAGCCAAGTTTTTCATCTTTTGTAGAGCTGGAGTGTTGCTGTGTTGACCTGGTCGGTCTTGAACTGCTTGGCTGAAGCAATCCTTCCACCTCGACCTGCCAAAGTGCTGGGATTACAAGCATGAGCCACCATGTACAGACCAGAGTTTAGTTTTTTGTTTTGAAGAGGTTTCTATTCAAAACTGAAATTATTTAAAGAAGATATATAGAAAAGCAGAAACTGATGTATTAAAACCTATGGCCCACCCAAATCCACTTTTGGCTTAGGTAGATTCTCAAAGTAAGATTTATCATTATTGTCGTTTTTAATTATTCAATCCCTTAAATAAATCTAACTGCCTTGAAATATGACAGATGGATAGAGATATAATTAGTTTTCACTTGGAAGAATTTTTATTTTAAATACTTTTTTTAAAGCACTATAAATTCTTTTACTACATGTGATAAATTAGCATTTAGTAAAATAAAGATAATTCAAAATAACATTCTGGCATTAAACATAAGGCAACATGATAAAAGATGTCATCCTATTACTCTGCTAATCTCAATTAATGAAGGCCTTATTTGGTATCTACTATGGGCTCAGCATCCCCAAAGTAATTTTTAATGATGTACAAACACAAATTTTAGTTAGAGCTTTGTCGTGATGTATTGTTGCATACTATTTTTTTAAGCGCTATACTGATACATATTAGCTCAATCAACTTAATATTTCTGTATCATTTGATAGAAATGAAAAGTTCACCCAACAATGAAAAGGAAAAGGCTAAAGACAAAAATAAAAAAGAGCAAGAGAGACATTTAGTGTAGATTAAGATGTGAGTCTAGGAACCTCTTTCTTTCTTACAAAGATAGCAGTGGGGAATCACAAGATCTAAGATATAACAAGTAATAAAACTGAATTATTTGTATTAACAGTTCCTAGAAAGCAAGCTAACTAAAGGTGGCAAAATAATAACAACAATAATTAATATGGGCTAGGCCTGGTGGCTCACGCCTATAATCCCAGCACTTTGGGAGGCCAAGTCAGGAGAATTGCTTCAGCCCAGGAGTTCAAGATCAGTCTAGGCAAAAAATAAAAAACATTAGCAGGACGCGGTGGTGTGTGTCTGTAGTCCCAGCTTCTTGGGAGGCTGATGTGGGAGGATTGCCTGAGCCTTCTAGGTTGAGGCTGTGAGCTGTGATCATGCCACTGCACTCTAGCCTGGGCAACAGAGTGAGACCTGTACTCAAAACAAACAAACAAACATATTATGGTTAGTGGATTCTCAGCAAGACCCAGGCTGCAGGCCCCTTCCTCCCCGTATTTCAGCCACCCTGGAATACTCCAGGTTTCCACTTGCTCCTGTTACTCCTGTTCCTCCCGTTTCTCCTTGTATTCCCCAGGTGCCTCTTAGGAAAACAGTATGACAGGTACTCAATTGTGAATGGTAGGGAGGCTCAACCTTTCTATTTGCACATGAGCACCACGTCTGGGATTCAGTGGAAGGAATATCCCCTGAAGTGACATTTTACCCTCTCCCAAAGAACCAGAGGTTGAGAAACAAATCCCAAAAAGCTGGGGAGCTGTGGGCCGGGGCACCCCCCTATGTCTCCAGGGTCCTCTTCCTCTAATTCTCAACTCTGCTTTCTGATCTGAAGCCACCTCATCATGGACACAGGATAGTGTGGTCATTGCAGATTCGGCAACCCTTCTCCCATTCCCACGTATCACAGGAAATGGGAAATACATGATTTTCTGTCATCCTTTTTTTTTTAGTTGGAGTCTCTCATTCTGTCGCCCAGGCTGCAGTGCAGTGGCACGCTCATGGCCACTGCAGCCTCTACCTGCTGGGCTCAAGGGATCCTTCCACCTCAGCCTTCCAAATGTAGCTGGAACCACTACATAGGCATGTACCACTACGCCCAGCTAATTTTTTGATTTATTGTAGAGATGAGGTCTTGTCAAGTTGTCCAGGCCAGTCTCGAACCCTTGAGCTCAGGCAATCCTCTTGCCTCCACCTCCCAAAGTGCTGGGAGGCATGAGCCCAGTTGATTTTCTGTCATTTTTACGAGTTGGTTCCCAATAGGGAGCAGGTCCTACCTGAGTTTCCTGCACCTTATGGTGATGCTGTAGCAACTTCAGAGGGTTTTTGCCAGTCACTCCCACTGGTGCTGAGGGCAGCTAGGATCACTGGCTGGAACTTTGTGGCTTCCTGAGATTCCTTCCCTTCTGGATTTCTTGATAGCCAGCAGGTTTTTCATTTTCCTGGCCCTTCCAGTGGTTCTGGAAGCATCCAATTCCTCCCTGCTTTGTTTTCCTCACAGAGTTGAAACTGACACTTTTTTGTTGTTGCTGCTGATTCGCTCATTCTCTGGTGTTGGGCAAGTGAGTTGCTTAATTTTCCTACAAAGATTGTAAACTGGTAATGCTCAGGGTGAAGACTAGATTTGTAATATAGCGTATTTCTTGGGATGCCTTAGCCATTTTGTACACTTTATTTTTGAAACAGCCCAATCCCTCTCCCCCAAACAAACTCAAACAAAATACATGAAAGCCCATCATTCTTAAATTTTTTCATTTATTGTATTTCTTATCATTGTCATTATATCTTGATTTATTCTGGAACTGTGACAGAGGGCAATTAGTTTTAAAGAAAGTGAAGACAGGTAGGAAGGCTGCTTTAATTTTTCCCCAACTTGGCTTGAGGGAAAAGTCACATATCCCTCAAGTTTATGAAACAGGCGTCGAATCTTTATTAAACTGGCCAGCAGGAGGAGGTCGTCTCCATTGAGGTAGCGGAGGATGGGCATCTCCTCGGGGTTTGGCAGCTTTTCAGCAAAGAGAAAGAGAAGGAAGTTCAAAGGCCAGGAGGGAAGTGGGGAGGTGGGGGAAGGGAGCCCCAGCACTGATCTGGAGCCATCTTCCCTACTGAGAAATACAATTATTTGTTTTTGTAATGTTTGGATTCCAATCATTACAGATAACTAGACTGGTTACCTGCAAGCAGGGGCAGTGGTATTATTCTAATCTGAACGAGGAGAGAACTGAAAAGCTGCAGAGACTTGAGAGACCCAATGGAATGTGGATATTTAATTTTTTTTGAGTCAGAGTCTCACTCTGCCACCCAGGCTGGAGTGCAGTGGCACAATCGTGGCTCACTGCAGCCTCGACCTCCTGGGCTCCTTCTGCCTCATCCCTAGTGGCTGGGACTACAGGCTAACTTTTTGGATTTTTGTAGAGACAAGGTCTTGCTATGTTGCCGGGGATTGTCTAGAACTGGCCTCAAGTGATCCGCCTTGGCCTCACCTGATAAGATCACAGTCGTGAGTCACTGTTCCCAGCCTGGAATTGGGATACTTTCAAAAACTAATGGTGTCTTCACTGAGAGCAGTGTAAAGATGTCTCACTATCACTTCCCAGGAAAGTGCCGGTCGGGGAGGTATGGTGAGTGCCGGCCTGAAGGTTGGGTGCCCACAGAGAAAACGCTGGGGGCGTAATCTTCCTCAGAGGAGGCAGGACTAGGGATGACAAAAACCCTTTTCTAAACGTGCCCCTACCTCCTGGAGGCCAATTCAAATCAGCTTCTCCATCACCCTCCCTTGGCCTCTGCTCACCCCACTCAGAATCAGAATCAGTCTGCTGATTCGAGGCTGATGTGGTCTCCCTGCAGCTGCAAGGTGAATGGTCTGTCAGGACAGTCTGGCCTAAGCAGGGCCAGCCTAAGAGGGGTGTGCAGCCTCAGTGGCAGGTCACACACAAGTACAACCACCACCTCTGCAAGCTGAGTGACCACTTACCGGCAAAAGATGTGAGAGCTGATGCTTCATTTCCACACTTCTTCCCTCCCTCCGTGGAAAGGAAAGATGGGAGGAAGGTAAGAGTGTAAAACTCGCCAGTAACAAAGAATGGACCAGGATCTTTAACCTCAAATCCCATAGCATGACAGAAGACTTTTTATTACAGGCTAAATCCATGATGGTTCTAGAAACTACAGATGCGAGCCACCTCGCCTAGCTAATTTTTTTTTTCTTGATTTATTGTACAGATGAGGTCTCGCCCAGTTTCCCAGGCTGATCTCCAACCCGTGGGCTCAGGCAATCCTCTCACTTCAGCCTCCCAAAGTGCTGGGGTTAAAGGTGTTAGCCACCATGCTTGGCCTATTTATTTATTTATTTTCAGTTGGAGTCTTGCTCTGTCACCCAGGCTGGAGTGTAGTGGCACGCTCACTGTCACTGCAGCCTCCACCTGCTGGGTCTTCCAAGCAGCTGGAACTATAGGTACGTGCCACCACGCCTGGCTCATTTTTTGATTTATTGTAGAGATGATATCTCGCCAAGTTGTCCAGGCTGGTCTTGAACCCATGGGCTCAGGCAATCCTCTCACCTTGACCTCCCAAAGTGCTCGGATTATATAGGCATGAGCCACCGCACCTGGCCCATGATGGTTCTAATAAGAAAGATTTCATTAGCAGGAATACTTGCAAAGAATTCTTAAAAATCAAAAAGCAGATGAGACCATATCTGGAGAGAGATAAATGACCAAACGAAGCCACTAACCCAAACCACACACACTCTGAGCGCAAAGTCAACAGAAATGACAAGTAGGAGGAGCCTGAGGTAAACACAGGGACCACCAAGTGGCAGTTGGCCCCTCACCTTCCCCTTAGTGCCGAGCTCAGGTGCCTGCAGGCGAGAGCTGGTGTGGGCGCTGGGCTAGTCTTCTACCCCTCAGCAGCTCCTACCACGACTCCACGATGATCACAAGCCAACGTCAGTAAGCAGAACAGCAAAACAGGGATTCTCAAAGACAAAAATGAACACACCACCAAGAACCACTGAATATTTGAGGCCATGAGAGAGAGGCACCAGACTTACCTATCAGAGAAACTAATACTCAAGGAAACACAATAGACAGAGGAAGGCTTTAGGATAGATATAGTTCATATTTTTTGAGGGATTTGAGGGTGTACTGTCATTAAGGAAAAGATACAATCAGAGGAATTGGGAGTTAAATCTATGCATATACAAATTTTAAAAAGGTGGCCAGGTGCACTGGCTCACACCTGTAATCCCAGCACTTTGGGAGGCCGAGGCAGGAGGATTGCTTGAGCCCAGGAGCTCGAGACCAGTCTGGGCCCTATAGTGAGACCTCGTCTGTACAGTAAATTAAAAAATTAGCCAAGCATGGTGGTGCATGCCTGTGGTCCCAGCTACTCAGGAGGCTGAGGTGAAAGGATCACCTGAGCCCAGGAGGTCAAGGCTGTGCCCACGATCATTCCCCTGTACTCCAGCCTGGGCAACAGAATAAGACCCCCAACTCAAAAAAATAAAATAAAAAAATAAATAAAAGTAGGTCCAGCTAATGTTCATGAATGCAGGCCTCAGCTATAAGTAGGGCCTTGGCTTTCACTCTAAAATTAGAAGCCACTGGATAGTTTTGACTAGACACAGTTTCAAAGTATCACTCTAGCTATTGTTAGAAGAGACTTTGAGAAGAGCAGAAGCAGGAAGACTCAGTAGGAGGCTACTGTAATAATTCAAACAAGAGATGGGCTGGAGACAAGGAGTGGATAAGAGTGACTATACAGAGGATGTGAGAAGTGTTAGAGCCTAGAGATATTTTGAAGGTAGAGTGTGTAGGACTTGCAGAAGAGTGGTGTGGGTTGTGAATCAGTGTTTGGAGTCGTGAAATGACCCCAAAGTTTTTGTCCCAAGCAACTGAAAAAAATGCAGTTGCCATTTTTTTTCTTTTTTCTTTTTTCTTTTTTTTGAGTTGGGAGTCTCACTCTGTTGTCCAGGCTGGAGTACAATGACACAATCATGGCTACCGCAACCTTGACTTCCTGGGTTCAAGCAGTCTTGCCTCAGCCTCCTGAGTACCTAGGACTACAGGTGTGTGCCACCATGCCTGGCTAATTTTTTTATTTACTGTAGAGATGACGTCTCACCAAGCTGCTCAGGCTGGTCTCAAACCCCTGGGCTCAGGCAATCTTTTAACATCTGCTTCCCAAAGTGCTGGGATTACAGGTGTGAGCAACCGTATCTGACTACAATTTGTATATTATGATTCAATATTTATTTTTTAAAAAAGCATATAAGTAATTTGTAAATACATAGAAAGAAGACAGATACACACCAAATGTGGGTGATGATTACTTAAGGGAGGGGAGTTAGAATAGAAGAAGAGATGAAGAGTAAATCTCATTTTTTATTCTCTATTGTTTAAATCTTCAAGTTTAAAATTTATTCACAGTAACTTTTATAATTTAAAAAATCCAAAGAAAAGGTGATTGTGTTGCCTATAATGCCAGCACTCTAGGAGGCCGAGGCAAGTGGACTGCCTGAGCCCGCAGGTTCAAGACCAGTCTAGGCAACTTGGCGAGACTTCGTCTCTACAATAAATCAAAAATTAGCTAGGCATGGCAGTGCGTGCCTGTAGTTCTGGCTACTTGGAAGGCTAAGGCAGGAGGATCGCTGGAGCCCAGCAGGTTGATGCTAGGGTGGCCATGAGTGTGCCACTGCCCTCCAGCCTGGGCGATGGAGTAAGACTCCAACTCAAAAAAAAAAAAAAAAAAAAAATTAGCATCAGACTCTTCCTTTTACATCAAAATGACTCTTCTTACTTTTTTCTTTCTTTTTTTAAGTCAGGGCCTCACTCTGTCAACCAGGCTGGAGTGTAGTGGCACGATTATGGCTCACCACAGCCTCTAGCTTCTGGGTTCAGGTGATTCTTCCACCCCAGCCTTCTAAATAGCTGGGTCTACAGACACACAGCACCAAGCCCAGCTAATTTTTTTTCTTTTGTGTAGAGACAAGGTCTCACTATGTTGCCCAGGCTGGTCTTGAACTCTTGACCTCAAACCATCTTTCTGCCTCGGCCTCCCAAAGTGCTGGAATTATAGGCATTGAGCCATAACACCTGGCCTCATGACTCTTTTTCTGATTGGAATTTATTTCTAAGAGGGGAGCAGAAGGGAGGGAGAGGGGAGAGGAGAGGAAAAGGGAGCGATAGAGAGAAGCATTTTAAGGTTTTAGGTAAGAATGTATTTACCGCGGATGCAATATACCAAAAGGAGGCTATGCTGTAGATTTCTAAACAAGAAAGAAACTTGTCTGACACTAAATATCTGGTTGCAGTAGCCAGACTAACTGGAAGTAGCTAGAATAGCACATAGCACATTGTAGACACTCACTTTGCATTGCTTGCGCCTGGAGTTTCCATTTTGGTTGGTGTTCATGAGATATCCCTGCCTGTGCTGAATATTATGATCATATTTCCACATATTTAAAAGTTTAGAAGTTGCAAGTTTGAAGTTTGGAGCTGGCCTCTTCCTTTAAAAGTTGATGATTCAGAGGTCCTCAGAGTTTAAGGGACTTCATTCAAAGTCACACGCTCTATATATTATGTATGTATATAGACGCACACAAATCTCTGTATATATCGATCTCCACATCTATATTAAGCTATCATTTACTGAGTACTTGTTCAGTGCCAAATACCACATTTAGAACTCTGCATTCTCAGTGAGCCTTCACAGCAGTCTGTAAGGTAGGAATCATTATCCTATTTTATGGATGAGGGAATGAAGTATAAATCCACCCACTTACTTAGCCAAGTGGCAGAGCTGAGGTATGAAACTACAGAGACTCTACAGCCTGAAGTCCACGTTCTTGCCCATCGTGCATTTTTCTCAATCACTGAGTGTATTCAGGCCATGCCCTGGGTAAGGCACTGGGGAGGGAGGAGTCAGTGGAATACAGATTCTGCCCTTTAGAAGGTAGGAAAGGGAACCATGAGGCAGGTAAGGCAGCATGGTCCAGTAAATGCAGGGAAGGAGGTAGGTGCCTGGAAATCCCAGAGAAGGATGCTGTCGACACTGATTGGGCAAAGGACTAGGAAGTCTGGGAAGTGTCTCCAAGGAGATGAGGCTTATGCTTGGTCTTGAACATGGCTAGAACCCAGGTATCCAGACCCAGCCCAAGCTTTCTACCTTAGCAGGGAGAAAAATGCAATACAAAATCCTTAAACAAAACCCCCAAAGCAGCACTACTCATTCACAGAGCAAACACTCAGTGTTATTTGGATCCAAGTCTGAGCTAAATGGAATTTCAGAAGAAAGGTCAGGTACAGTGGTTCAACCTGTAATCCCAACACTTTGGGAGGCCAAGACAGAGGATTGTTTGAGCCCAGGAGTTCAAGACCAGCTTAGGCAATTTAGCAATAACTTGCCTCTATTTCTATTTAAAAAAAAAACAAAAAGAATTTCAGAAGAAGAAGAAACGATAAGACTACCTCAATTCCATGTGAAAATTTCACAATGTGTTTTTTCCACTGAATTCCAAAACTCTTAGTGGACAGTAGATTATGCACAAGTATAATCTATCAGTAATAAGACTAACAAAAGTTATCTCACTCTTATTATTCCAAATGGTTTAAACTGTTTTTAAAAAATGTACCTACCTTCACTTTGGTTCCCACACCGATTCTTGCTTGTTGGCCCATTGCTAGAAAAGTGATGGAAATCTTGTCTTGTTCTAAGATGCGGACTCCAATATAATGGTTCAAAGCCAGAAAGACCGGTTTAAATGAAACGAAGGGCGAGGAGCCAATGGAACTGGACCAATTCCAAGCCCTTATTCTGTTGCCATCTTGATCTGAATATTGACCTCCCAAGATATTGACATATACCCTGGACAGGAGGAAATCAAATAGTCACAAACAGTAACACTATTATTCAATGCTGGAATGAGCCCTGTCAGTTGCTCTCCCAGGGGAGCAACCGGTCTTGCTAGCCATTAGCATCTGAGTGCTGGAAACCTCAGGCGACCTTAGGAGTGAGAGAGCATGACTGGATTCTACACTAATTCGAAGTGCTGGCTCCAATTTGAGGCCATACTAGTAAACTAAAACGGGTCCAAAGAATGAAACCGGGTTGGTAAAGGGGTCTGGAAGGATGAAGAGGGTAGGGAAGGTTTAGTCTGAAAAAGAAGAGATACAGAAGAATAAGCTATTTCTGAAAGAGGAGTAAAGGTCAGTGCTTAGATTTCCACCATGCCAAAATGAAGACTAGTGCGTGTAAATTATAGGGAAGAATGAGCTGGCCTTAGCACAAGAGAGCTGTTTGCTAACAGTGCCCATCACCCGGTGGCCATGTGTCCTTCTAGGAGGCTTCTAACTAACATCTCTAAGAGGCCTATCACCTACCACCTGCTGGCCAGGTGTCCTTCTCTGAGGCCTCTCACCAGGGCTAGGTGCGGGACAGGGACTCCGGGAGCACTTCTGAGGTCACTAAAGGAGAGAAGAGCTCTGTGACGGAGCAGAGGGTGGAACTAGGCCTCCCCAACCTTCTCACATGGCTAATACCCCACATCATACTGTTACATTTACCTCTGTGCGGTCTGAGATCTGGCAGCACTAATGGTGCTAAGGCAGCACCATTTTTATTTATTTATTTATTCCCATTTTCCCTTCCAGATATGATTTTTATTATTATTTTTAAGTGACAGTGGCTGGGCACGCTTGTAAGCCCAATACTTTGGGAGGCCAAGGTGGGAGGATCGCTTGAGCCCAGGAGTTCGAGACGAGCCTAGGCAACATAGTGAGACTTTGTCTCTACAAAAAATGAAAAAAAAAAATTAGCTGAGCATGGTGGTGCATGCCTGTAAGTCCCAGTTTCTCAGAAGGCTGAGGTGGGAGAATTGCCTGAGCCCAGGTAGTCTTGCTACCGTAGTCATGCCATTGCACTCCAGCCTGGGTGACAGAGTGGGACCCTGAAAAAAAGAAGAAAGGAGGAGAAGGAGGAGAAGGAGGAGAAGGAGGAAAAGGAGGAAAAGGAGGAGACAGGGTTTCAGTATCTTACACAGGCTTAAGTGCAGTGGCAAATTACATACATGATGACAATGATCATCATAGCTCATTACAGCCTTGAACTCAGGGCCTCAAGTGATTCTCCTGCCTCAGCCCAGCACCTGGCACACCACTCTGCCTGGCTCATTTTGTCATTTTATTCAGTTATCACCTCATACTCTCACCTTCTTCCAACTCGGAATGCCAACCTCCCTACCTTGAGAAGATAGGTTAGATAGAGTTCCGGGCACTTAGAAAGTTGGCTTAATTTGATAATTATTCTTTATCAAGTAGATGAATTGGCCAGGCGTGGTGGCTCATGCCTATAATCCCAATGCTTTGGGAGGCCAAGGCAGAAGGATTGTCTGTTGCTAGGAGTTTGAGACCAGCCTGAGCAACATAGGGAGACTCTGTCTCTACCAAAAAAAAAAATGTGAAAACAAATTAGCTGGGCATGGTGATTTCCACCTGTAGTTCTAGCTGCTCAGGAGGCTGAGATGGGAGGATCCCTTGAACACAGGAGTTTGAGATTGCAGTGGTTGCGCCACTGCACTCCAGCCTGGGTGACAGAGCAAGACCATTTCTCAAAACAAACAAACAACTAGCTGATGGGCCACGAAGGCCCCCCAGTATTGATTGGTGATAGTAATCTAATATCAGAAGCACAATGAGAAGCAAGGGTGATTATCTTATTGTATCTGGGAAGGAGGAGAGTTTTCTCTTGAAATGTGAGTGAAAATAATATTTAGCTAAAATTATCTGGATAAATCAGTCCTTATTTAATAAACCTTCTTTCAGCCTATACTACTGAAAGATCCTCTGCTATGTAGTGGTGAAAATTTGGGATGTAACTTCTAGGAACGTCATTCTGGCAGGGGAAATGGCAGGCAGTTAGAAGGGCTATCAGAGAGTCAAAGAGCCCTGTCAGAATGCCTGGGAGTTCAAGGGTAAGGGGCTTTATAAAACCAATCTAGAAGCATCACTTGGTTTCTGGCATAGAAACCAATGAATATTGGTGACAATTAATATTGCATTCTACCAAATGTAACAAGAATTTCTATTGAGTCCTAAAAGATAAGTGGAAATTTCCCAGTGTGCCTCGATTAACTGCTGCTTTGGACTAAAATCACAGAGAGCTCACGTGCCCTAACTTTCTCAAGGATTGGCAGTATACAAACTTGGCCAATGATTGGCCGAGTCTCCCAGGATGAGATTGTTATACCTGTAAATAATTTAAAGAAAGAGACTATGTCTTCCTGAAAAACTCAGAAAGTTTAAATTGTACTTGAAGTTAGAACTCAAATTTCACTTTGTCACAGAGTATGTACATTAGTGGAGCAAGTTAGAATCAGGATCATAATTTCTCTGGAGATTTTGTCTGTGTTATTGTTGTTAGTTGAGGCTATAGAAGGCTCACTAGTTAGGAATGTATCTCAAACAATACATTCTGACCCATTTTTTGGGTCAGAGTCTCACTCCGTTGCCCAGACTGGAGTGCAGTGACACTCTCACAGCCACCCCAGCATCGACCTGATGGGCTCAGGCAATCCTTCCGCCTCAGCCTTCCAAGTAGCTGAAACTTCAGGCACACGCTACCATGCCTGGCTCATTTTTTGATTTTTTATTGTGGAGATGAGTTCTCACCAAGTTGCCCAGGCTGTTCTCGAAACCGTGGGCTCAGGCAATCCCCTCACCTCAACTCACCTCAGACTTGAGCCACTGCGCCCAGCCTGACAGATTATTTTCATAGATTAAGCAGTATGTGGCTGGGTACAGTGGCTCACACCTGTAATCGCAGCACTTTGGGAGGCCGAGGCAAGAGGAGTACCTGAGCCCAAGGGTTTGAGACCAGCCTGGGCAATTTGGCGAGACTTTGACTCTTAAAAAAAGAGATTAAGCAGTGTGACATCATCAAGGTTCAGGCTCTAGAGACTGCTTTGGTTTATATTCCAAATCCTTAGAATTATCATATCATATATTAAGATTTTTTTCTATGTTGTAATGATATTTTCTTACTATGTATAGACAGAATATAATGAGTTTCGTTTGTATAGTTGCTTGGGATTTTTCCACTGAGAAGCATATGAGAAGATGTAGACCAAAAATGTCTCTGAGTTGAATATTACCATCTAAAGACCACTTGCTTAAATAAATCTTAAGCCCATTCTTAACAATTTAAAAGAAAAATAAAATTCCACAGAACTAAAACCACAAATGGCAGTAGGAAGAGCCTAGAAGCCCACCAGACATTTCCATTGGGATGATAACAGGAACTTCTGCCAGAGGAATCCAGCACTGCCAGGATGGCAGGGTTAGTGAACGTGTCTTCTTGGACTATACAAGTGAAACCACTTATCTTGTTGGGCACTCGGATGATGGCGAGGTTTCCAGATGGATAGCTGAGATAAGATAAGGTCATGTGAGTGTTATAATGGTCCTTGATTATTCTGGGAATAAATTCAATTTATGAGAGAGCCCTTTGAAATTATAAAGCATTCGGAAAGTGGAAGGTATTTTTTGAATTTTTTTTTTTTGAGTCAGAATCTCACTCTGTCACCCAGGCTGGAGTGCAGTGGCATGATCACGCCCACTCAATCTGCTGGGCTCAGGCGATCCTTCCACCTCAGCCTTCCAAATAGTTGGGACTATAGGCACACACCACAATACCTAGCTAATTTTTTGATTTACTGTAAGAGACAAGGTCTTGCCGTGTTGCCCAGGCTGGTCTTGAACTCCTTGACTCAGGCAGTCCCCTCACTTCTGCTTCCCAAAGTGCTGGGATTACAGGCATGGGCCACCATGCCTGGCCAGGAAATATTACTCTTACAAAAGGATTTTATGCTTTTTATGTGGATCAAAATATATTGATGAGGTACAAAAATTTCAACAAAAAATTAACAAACCAGTGTGGTAGATCACGCTGGTAATCCCAGCACTTTGGGAGGCAGAGGTGAGAGGATTGCCTGAGTCCAGGAGTTTGAGATCAGCCTGGGCAACTTGTTGGGAACTTATCTCTACAATAAATCAAAAATAACTGGGCATGGTAGCACACACCTGTGGAAGGCTGAGGTGGAAGGATCACCTGAGCCCAGGAGTACAAGGCTGAAGTGGCTGTGAGCCTGCCACTGCACTCCAGTCTAGGTGACAGAATGAGACTCCTACTCAAAAAAAAAAAAAAAAAAAAATCCAGGCACAGTGGTTCAGCCTGTAATCCCAGCACTTTGGGAGGCTGAGGCGAGAGGATTACCTGAGCCTGGGGGGTTTGAGACCAGCCTGGGCAACTTGGTGAGACCTCATCTCTACAATAAATCACAAAAACTAGCCGGGCATGATGGCATGCATCTGTAGTTCAAGCTACTTGGAAGGCTGAGGTGAAGGTTTGCCTAAGCCCAGGAGGTTGAGTCTGCGGTGGCTGCTAGCATGCTACTATACAGAAGACTGGGCAACAAAGAGTGAGACTCCAACTCAAAAAAAAAAAGCAAAGAAAATCTAACAATATATAAAAAAGATGAAGTAGGGTTTATCCCAGGAATGCAAGGCTGGTTTAATATCTAAAAATCAATTCAGGTATTATACCATATTAATATAATAAAGGCCAGGTTCGGTGGCTCAGCCTGTAATCCCATGCTTTTGGGAGGCTGAGCTGAGTGGATTGCCTGATCCCACGGGTTCGAGACCTGCCTGGGAACTTGGCGAGACCTCATCTCTACAATAAATCAAAAAATCACCCGGGCGTGGTAGCACGTGCCTATAGTTCCAGTTACTTGGAAGGCTGAGGCGGAAGGATCACCGGAGCCCAGCAGGTCCAGGCTGCAGTGGCCGGGAGCGGCCACTGCATTCCAGTCTGGGTGACAGAGTGAGACTCCAACTCAAAAAAAAAAAAAAAAAAAAAATATATATATATATATAATAAAGAACAAAAATACACACGGTCATTTCAACAGACACAAAAAAGCAGTGGACAAACTTCAACATTCATAATAAAAAGACTCAGTTGACTTACAACAGAAGTGGACATCCTCAACCTGATAAAGGGTATCTTAAAAAAAACTCACACCAAAAATGGTGAAAGACTAAGTGCATTCTTCCTAAGATCTGAAACCTAACAAAAATTTCTGTTCTTACTGCTTGCATTTGACATTGCACTGGCGGTTCTAGCCACAGAAAGTTTAGGAAAGAAAAAGAAATGAAAGGCATCCAGATTGGGAGTGGAAGTAAAACTATCTTTTAGCAGATGATATGCTCTTGTATATAGAAAATCCTAATCAATCCATAAAACACTATGTTAGAAATAATAAATGAGGTCAGCAGGGTTGTAAGCTATGAGGTCAGTATACAAAAATAAATTATATTTCTATACACTAGCAGTGAATATACTACAAATGAAAAAAAAAAATTCCGGCCAGGCACAGTGGCTCAGACCTGTAATTCCAGCACTTTGGGAGGCCGAGGTGAGAGGACTGCCTGAGTCCACAGGTTAGAGAACAGCCTGGGCAACTTGGAGAGACCTCATCTCTACAAAAAATGAAAATCAAAAAATTAGCCAGGCATGGGGCAGGGTAGCATTCGCCTGTAGTTCCAGTTATTTGGAAGGCTGAGGTGGAAGGATGGCCTGAGCTCAGCAGGTTGACGCTGGGGTGCTTGTGACCATGCCACTGCACTCCAGACTGGGCAACAGAGTGAGACTCCAACTCAAAAAAAAAAAAAAAAATACTAGTATAACTAAAACAAAACCTCACTCTCTCTCATAGGACTTTGGGAACTAAAACTTCATTATGCTTCCTGAGCTGTGAAAGTCATTTTTTCTGGGGTTTGACTAAACATTTAGGAAACTATGACTAAAGACAACTTAATTCTACAAGAGGAAGCCCTCAGTCCATGACAAGGGCTCCTCATTTTTTTGTTTTTACCTTCTCTAGATAGTAAGTGCCCTTCATGTCAAAATATTAAACAAGTGGCCTGGTTATCAGGCAGAAGTCCAAATGATCAATAACTTAGTGTTCCATGAAATAGATATTGAATTTTGATATTTAAAAAATCGCATGCTACTCATGGATGTGTAAACTGGTACATATTTCCTGGGGGGGGGCAAAATCTTTCAAAGCTTTAAGATATCTAAATTTGTTACCCAGAATTTCTACTCCTAGGTATTTTTTTTTAGGTATTTTTAAAAAAAAATACATTGAAATAGAGATGTTCCCCCACACTGGTCTCAAACTTCTGGGGCTCAGGCAAACCTCCCCACTTTGGCCTCCCCAAAGTGCTGGGATTACCAGCTTGAGGCACCATGTCCTGCCTTTCCCTAGTTATTTAATTCAAGGAAATGAGTGATAAGAATGCAAAAAAGTATGCATGAAGCTGTACATTCAGTTGTGTATAATAGCAAAAACTGTGAAACCACCTTTGCTCAGTAATAAGAGATAGGTTACATAAATTACAGTATATCCCTGTAATGAAACACTTTGAAGCTGGGAGCAGTGGCTCACACCTGTAATCCCAGCACTTCGGAAGGCCAAGGACAGAGAGTCACTTGAGCCCAGGAGTTTGAGACCAGCCTGGGCAATCTAGTGAGACCTCATCTTTACAAAAATTAGCCTTACATGGTGGTGCGTGCCTGTATTCCCAGTGACTGGGGGAGGGGAGAGGCTGAGGTGGGGAGGATTGCTTGAGTCCAGGAGGTCGAGGCTGTGGTGAACCATGATTGTGCCACTGCACTCCAGCTTGGGCAACAGAGACCCCCAACTCAAAAAAAAAAAACACTACCACGGGGTTATAAAAATGGTGTTGTATCTCTATATTTTAAATTTCAGATTATCTAGTCATAACACTGCTTTTTTAAATATAATATCATTATGTAAAGAATCCAATTATAAAATATGAATAAACAATTGATTTTTAAAGAATTATATATATATGCTCATACAAAACATGTAAGGAAAGACATATATATATACATATATATATATATTTTTAAAGTCAGCATCTCACTCTGTTGCCCAGGCAGGCTCACAGCTACCACAGCTCAACCTGCTGGGCTCCAGGAGATCCTTCTACCTCAGCCTTCCAAGTAGCTGGAACTATAGGCAAGTGCTACCACCCTCGGCTTGTTTTTTGATTTATTGTAGAGATGAGGTCTCATCAAGTTGCCCAGGCTGGTCTCGAACCCCTGAACTCAGGCAGTCCTCTTGCCTCGGCCTCCCAAAGTGCTGTGATTACAGGCTTGAGACACCGTACCTGGCTGAAAGATATATTTTTAAATGCTAACAGCTTTTCTCTGGGTGGTAGAATTTAAGGGTAATATTGTTTTCTTTACAGTTTTTTTTTTTAAGAAATAAAGCTAATACCAATAACATGTTGAAAGAAAGGATACAATATTTGCGTTGTCCCATCTGGAAATGAAGTCAGAAACTTGCTCCCATGTTTGTAGTGCTTCTCTAAGAGCTCGTTTCTCACAGCCTACACAGGACAGAAGAGGACACTTGACTGTTCATTGTTTCAGATATCACACAGTAAGAGTGGCAACAACGGACATTGTCCAGTTGCCAAGACAGTGATACAAACCATTCTTTTTCTTTTCTCTTTTTCTTTCTTTCTTTCTTTTTTATTTTTATCTTTTTGAGTTGAAGTCTCACTCTGTTGCCCAGGCTGGAGTGCAGTGGCATGCTCAACAGCCACCACAGCCTCGACCTCCTGGGCTCAGGTGATCCTTCCGCCTCAGCTTCCTGACTAGCTGGGACTACAGGCATGCACCACCATGCCCAGCTAATTTTTTAATTTATTGTAGAGACAAAGTCTTGCTATGTTGCCCAGGCTGGTCTCAAACCCCTGGGTTCAGGCAATCCTCTTGCCTCAGTTTCCCAAAGTGCTGGGATTACAGGTGTGATCTACCACACCTGGCCCAAACCATTTTTCTTAACTTAAAATGTTGGCCCTGCTTCAATAGCAGGAGATGAGCCTCAGGGCTCATTTACAAATTGTCCCTCACCCCTGCATGTAACCTGATAAAATCACATCTATTTAAAGTTTTTTATTTTCATTTTTTTTTTTACTTTATACATATATTACTATAAAAACAAAACAAAAGAAGAACCAGCCGCAGCTCAATGGAAATATTCTATATTCTGATGGTAGTGATGGTTACACAATTCTGTCAAAATTCCTAGACCTGAACAAGGGTGTATATTACTGAATATGAATTGTAGGCAGGGCATGGTGGCCCACGCCTGTAATTCCAGCACTTTGAGAGGCTGAGACAGGAGGATTCCTTAAGCCCAGAATTTCAAGACCAGCCAGGAAAACATAGTGAGAACCTTTCTCTACAAAAATTAGCTGGGTATGGTGGCGCGTGCCTGTAGTCCCAACTACTTGGGAGGCTGAGGTGGAAGGATCACCTAAGCCCAAGAGGCTGCAGTGAACTGGGATTGTGTCACTGCCTCCAGCCTGGACAACAGAGTGAGTCCCTTACTCAAAAACAATTTTTTTTTTGAGTTGGAGTCTCACTCCATCGCCCAGACTCGACCCGTTGGGCTCCGGCGATCTTTCCGCCTCAGCCTTTCAAGTAGCTGGAACTACAGGCATGCACTACCACGCCCGGCTGATTTTTTTATTTATTGTACAGATGAGGTCTCGCCAAGTTGCCCTGGCGGGTCTCGAACCCACGGGCTCAGGCAATCCACTCACCTCAGTCTCCCAAGGTGCGGGATTACAGGCTGAGCCACCGAGCCTGGCCAATTTTTTTTTTAAAATAGAGATGAGGTTTTGCCAAGTTGTCCAGGCTGGTCTTGAACCCGTGGGCTCAGGCAATCCTCTCACCTTGGCCTCCCAAAGTGCTGGAATTATAGGCTTGAGCCACCATATCTGGCCCTCCAATTTTTTTTTTTTTTTTAATAAATCTGGCTTAAAGAGAAAAAATTCCAGTACAACCTGCAGCAGCTGGTGTCTCTTCCAGGTTGTTCTGGAGGTTCATTTGAGGATAACATCAGGGGCGTAGGGAAGATGGAGAAATCATCGGGAGAGATTCCTTATTATAGCTCCAAGTTCAATTATTTTATATGTAAAGCTCCGTGGAGAAGTGAATTTTTATCCTACAATATCTTATAATAAATTGAAGATTCATTTTAATTCTATTTATTTCTAATCTTGAATTATACTAAAAAGGATACATGAATTTCTACGGCTAAACAATGAAACAACCTGCATGTTATGTAAACGCTGTCATTTATTTTTGGAAGCTAATATATGTTTTCACTTTTGAAAATTATGAAATGTACAATACTCGGATGGCACTAAAATATGCTATTTCATTCGTGAGTAATTATGAAGTAAACATGCATACAATCACCACGAGGTCAAGAAATCAAACAGTGCTCACACTCTAGAAACCCCAACCGGATGTGTCCAATCCAGTGTCAACACCCTCCTTGCCAGACTCAGGCACCAACCTGATTTCATAGTGATGTCACTGCTTCTCTTTGTACTTTCATTATTTATAAACATTTTTCCCATTTTTGAATTTTACCTAAATGGAATATACATGATGTGTTTTTATGTCTTCTCTGTCAACATTATGTTTTAAAGATTCATACATATTCCAGTATGTAGCTGTAGTCAATCATTTCCGTTTGTGTATATTATTCCATCGTATGAATTCATCACTATTTATTTATTCGTTCTATTGTTAATGGAAATTTGGGCTTCGTGTTGTTGTTGGAGTCAGAGTCTCACTCTGTGGCCTAGGTTGGAAGGCAGACATGATTACAGCTAACCGCAGCTCCCATTCTGGGCTCAGGCAATCCTTCTACCTCGCATCCCGAGTACCAGGGACTACAGGCATGCGCCACCATACCAACTAATTATTTGATTTTTTGTAGAGGTGAGGTCTCCCTATGTTGCCCAGGCTGGTCTTGAACTCCCAGGTTCAAGCAATCCTCATACCTTAGCCTCCCAAAGTGCTGGAATTGCAGGTGTGAGCCATCATGTCAGGCTTTCAGTTTTTGGTAATTATAAACAATGATACACCGGGCACGGTGGCTCACACCTGTAATCCCAGCACTTTAGGAAGTCAAAGCAAAAGGACTGCCTGAGCTCAGGGGTTCGAGACCAGCCGGGGCAACTTGGTGAGACCTCAGCTCTACAATAAATCAAAAAAATAGCTGAGTATGGTGGCACATGCTTGTAGTTCCAGCGACTTGGAAGGCTGGGGTGCAAGGATCCCCTGAACCCAGCAGGTCAAGGCTGCAATGATCATGAGCATGCCACTGCACTCCAACCCGGACAACAGAGTGAGACTTCAACTCAAAAAAAACCAAAACAATGATACTATCAACATTTTCTATGCATGCGTGTGTATTTCTAGGATATTACACCCAGAGATGGAGTTGCTGGATCCCAAGATATGCCTATATTCCTCTTTACTAGGTAATCCCCAATTGATTTCCAAATTGTTGTGCCAATTCACACTTTCATTTGCAGCAAATAATAGGTACATTTGCTTTGTATCCTTTCCAAAACCTGGTATTACTAGATCTTACACTTTTCGACATGATTGGTAAGTACTGATCTCTAACTGTAGTTTGAGTTTTCAATTTCTCAGGTTGCTAATGAGGTTGACCATTTGAATTTTCTTTTTGGAGAAGTGTTTGTTCAAATTTTTTTTTGCCTCACTTTTCTAATAAGTTGATTTTTTCATGTTGTTTTATAAAAATTTAATTTATCAAATTCTTTATGAATGTTGCTTTTTTTCCATCTGTCAGTGAATCTTTCCTTAACCTGAATAAAGCTATTCTCCTGTATTTAAAAATCTTTGTGGTTTTATATTTCATATTTAGATCTTTAATCTGCTTGAAATTGATTTTGACATATGGTGTGAGGTAATGGCCTCAATTTTTTTTTTTTAAATGAGTACCCAATTGTCCTAGCACTATGTATTGAAAAGACCATCCTTTCTGTTACTGTGCAGTGTCACTACTGTCATAAATCAGATATTCATGTATGTATAAGTCTGATTCTGTACATGTCTTAATTACTATATTTTGCAACAGATGTTAATATCTCGCAAGCACATTCTTCTCCTTCCTCAAGAGTGTTTTAGCTGTTCTAGATTCTTCATGTTTCCATAAACATTTTTAGAATCAAGTTGTCAAGACTTCCCTTCTCCCAATACACACAAATATGCAATCTTGTTATAATTTGACATGACTGTGCTGGATCTACAGATCACTTTGGGAAGAATGTCATTAAAAAAATATTTACTCTTCTGTCAGGCACGGTGGCTCACACCTGTAATCCTAGAACTCTGGAAGGCTGAGATGGGATGATTGCTTGAGCCCAGGAGTTCAAGACCAGACAACATAGGAAAACTTTGTTTCTACATAAAATACCGGAATTGATTTAAAACTTGTGCATATATTCTTATATGTTTAAATTAGTCACCTTCAAAGTACTCTCTGTCTGATGCAATATACCTATCAAGACACTTTTTCCACTGCTCAAAACAATTTTTGAACTCATCAATTTTGATGCCTTTGAGTGCTTCTGCTCTTTTTTGTTTCACCTCTTCCAAATCAGCAAGACATTTCCTTTTGAGAACTTTTTTCTTTGGGGAAAAAAAAAGTTGCTTGGGGTAAGATTGGGTGAATAGGGAAGGTGGGGCATGGAGGTCATGTCGTTTTTAGTCAAAAACTGCTGAACACTCAGCATGGTATGGGCAGATGTGTTGTCATTGTGAGTGAAATCGTCACCTGTTTGCCACAAAAAATTTCACTGAAGCCAAACACAGCCTCTCACAACAACACTAGCTGGTACACTGATACCAGTGGGTTTCGAGAACACTTACTTAGAAGTCTGTACTACAATGGGCCCACCCTCCAAAAGATAATTCTGGGTTTTTTGGGGTCCCTCCTTGTATAGCAAAAAAAATAGTTAATAACCTGTATGTCTATATCATGAAATACACTATAAGAAAAATTACATAGCTACTAAAATAATGTTAATATAAACTCTCACAGAAAAATTATTTTTACAATTAGATTATAAAACATAAAAATGACATATATGATACAATTATAAGTATTTTAACAAAAACTTATGCAAGGGAAAATGTCTAGAACAGTGTTATCTAATAGAACTTTTTTTTTTTTTTTTGAGTTGGAGTCTCACTCTGCCGCCCAGACTGGAGTGCAGTGGCCGCTCCCGGCCACCGCAGCCTCGACCTGCTGGGCTCCGGCGATCCTTCTGCCTCAGCCTTCCAAGTAGCGGAATTACAGGCATGCGCTACCACGCCCGGCTGATTTTTTGATTGATTGTAGAGATGAGGTCTCGCTGCCCAGGCGGGTCTCGAACCCGCGGGCTCAGGCAATCCACTCACCTCAGCCTCCCAAAGGCGCGGGATTACAGGCTGAGCCACCGAGCCCGGCCTAATAGAACTTTTAAGAATAATTTCTTTTTTGGCAGGGCTCGGTGGATCAGCCTGTAATCCCAGCACTTTGGGAGGTTGAGGCGAGTGGACTGCCTGAGCCTGCAGGTTCGAGACCAGCCCAGGCAACTTGGTGAGACCTCATCTCTACAATAAAAAAAATAAAAAATAAAAAATTAGCCGGGCATGATAGTGCGAGCCTGTAGTTCTGGTGCCAGAAGGCTGAGGAGGAAGAATCGCTGGAGCCCAGCAGGTCGATGCTGGGGTGGCCATAAGCATGCCACGGCACTCCAGTCTGGGCAACGGAGTAAGACTTCAACTCAAACAACTCCTGGACTCAAGCAATCCTCCCGCTTCGGCCTCCCAAACTGCTGAGGATACAGGTGTGAGTCACTGTGACCAGTCAGAATTTTTTATTACAACAAAAATCTTCTATATTTTCACTGTAGTATAGCAGCCACTACTTATGTGCAGCTACCTAGGACATGAGAAAGTGCTAGTGTGACTGAGGAATTACATTTTAAATTTTATTTCATTTTAATTAATTTAAATTTAAATAGTCATATGCAGTATTGCTACCATATTGGTCAGTATACATCTAGAAAATATTGAAATGCTGATGTTTTGGGGAAAGCGATTGGGACTTTTGGTAGTTTTCTTCCCTTCTTTTTAATGAATGTTCTTTAATGTGCAACACTAACATTTTAAAGTAAAAAAGTTTTAACCAAAACATTAAGCCAAAACACAAGACAGTGTTATAAAGTCTAGTAGATTTAAAAGGCTAAATCCATGCCAATTCTTTTTGACAAATAGTTAAATGTATCATGTAGTCAAGCTGAACGAGAGTTTTTACAATTTTAAGTAAAACTGATTTTTTTAAAAATGATAAATTAGAAAATTACAAGTTAATTACCTTTCCACATGCTATCCTAGAATCACAGCAAACAATGGACATATTACTGTTTTTAAGCTGAAAATCACATAGTATGTCATCATTTATTTCTGGTTCTGGAATATTCATGGAAAGTTGATAAGAAATTGTTTTCATGCGCTTTGGATCTGATGGAAAAAGAATCACATGACAGTACATATATGTTTTAAATTTTCTAAAACCTCTCCTCTAAAATAAAATTTCAAACCCAATTATAAATGCATGGATTCATAAGACATTTTAATATTTACATTTTTCATCATCTTTTAAAAAATTATTCCCATTTTACAGATGAAGAGACTTTTTTCTTTTCTCTTTTTTGAGTCGGTGTCTCATTCTTTCACCAAGGTTGGAGTGCAGTGGCACGATCACGGCTCACCACAGCCTCAATCTCCTGGGCTCTGGTGATCCTTCCGCCTCAGCCTCCCAAGTAGCTGGGACTATAGGCGAGTGCCACCATGCCCAGCTAATTTTCTTTTTTGTAGAGACAAGGTCTTGCTATGCTGCCTAGGCTGGTCTCAAGCAATCCTCCTGCCTCAGCCTCCCAAAGTGTTGGGATGACAGGTGTGAGCCTCTACACCTGGTCAATGATGTACTTTTGACAGATTTTCCATACCCAAGCTTGAAAACAGAATGGAAAGTGTGCTTAATAAAACAAGAGGCAAAGAATATGAAAACGCTTTGGAGCTATCGGTAAAGTGCTCTATAGATGGTGCTAATTTATTTCAACCAGTAATAGCAATGAGATGACAACTAAGAACACCAAAAGCCAGATGACTGAAAATACCAGATTTTTTGAGCCATTTTGACTAATGCAGGTTTTACTGTACTTAGAAATAAAATTTCTCAATACGGTTTTAAATACACCCATTTTATCTCATGGTCAAACATCTGAACTTTCTGATGTTGCACAGCCAGCAGGTATACACCACCAGCGTTGATGAACTCACCTTCCTCAGTGAAATTCGGCTGGTCGTTTGATATTATTGGAAAATATCTGGCTATTTGTCGCTCCTGTTTTCTACAAAATCAAAAAATAACATGTGTAAACCTGAAATGTAGTTGAAGCTTAAAACAGTGTACTACACGGCCTAACGCAGTGGCTCAAGCCTGTAATCCCAGCACTTTGGGAGGCTGAGACAAGAGGATTGCCTGAGCTCAAGGGTTCAGGGGTTTAAGACCAGCCTGGGAAACTTGGTGAGACCTCGTTTCTACAATTAATCAATAAATAAGCCGAGTTTGGTAGCATGTGCCTGTAGTTCCTGCAACTTGGAAGGCTAAGGTGGAAGGATCGCCTGAGCCCAGCAGGTAGAGGCTGTGATGGCCATAACTGTGTCACTGCACTCCAGCCTGGGCGACAGAGGGAGACTCCAACTCAAAAACAAACAAACAAACAAACAAACCAAAACCAGTTGACCAATTATCACTTGTGAATCCAGACTATCTCATCAGAGCCAGAGGGGTCTCTAGTCTTTTTTTTTTTTTTGAGCCAGAGTCTCACTCTTTCGCCCAGGTTGGAGTGCAGTGGCGCAATCACAGATCACCAAAGCCTCGAACTCTTGGACCTAACCGATTCTTCCATCTCATCTCCCAAGTAGCTGGGACTACAAGCGTGCCACCATGCCTGGCTAACTTTTTGTTTGTTTTTGTTTTGGAGGTTTTTTTGAGTCGAGTTTCACTGTCGCCCGGTTGGAGTGCAGTGCTCACAGCTACTGCAGCCTTGACCTGCTGGGTTCAGGCAATCCTTCAGCCTGTCTCCCAAGTAGCTGGAACTACTGGTGCGAACCACCACTCCAGGATAATTTTTTGATTTACTATAGAGATGAGGTCTTGCCATATTTTCCAGGATGGTCTTGAACCCCTGGGCTCAGGCAGTTGTCTTGCCTCAGCCTCTCTAAGTGCTGGGATTACAGGCATGAAGCACCATGCCCAGCTCTTTCTGTTTATTGGACAAATTTCTCCAATACAGGAATTCTGAATTGCCCTGATAATTTAGGATTGGTAAATTTCAACTTAAAACCAGTGAGTTGACTGAGTTCCTGGGAGCTTTTGAGTTTCATGACACCTACCAGGAATTGTAATAGGTTTGCTTTGTCCAATTTTTATTTCTTCACAGGGAATACATCTTCAAAATTATGTATTTTTTTTAAAAAGGGGTACATTTTACAGAAAGCTCTCCAGTGACACTGGCCTCTCTGAATTTCAATATTACAGGCTCAAGGTTACCTCCGGAAGGCTTTTTCCTTTGCCTTGAGTCTGTCGACTTCATTGCCGTGGGCTGCGTGAGGGTTGATACAAATTTTTTCAGTTTTAGGGCTCTCGGTTTTTTTTCCTTCCTCATAGATATAGTCAATCAGATTTTGGAAAGAAATACAGCAGGAAGTCTGAAAAACATGTCATATTCATCTCATTAGTCCTAGCTGAAGATGAATCGAGGAGACAAAAGCAACTAATGGGATTTGGATAGCAATCTGTCTTAACTCTTTCTGGTAACAACTTTAAGATACAATTCACATACCATACAATTCACCCATTTAAAAGGTATCATTCATTGGTTTTACTATATTCACAGGATTGTACAACCATCACCACAATCAATCTTATTTATTTATTTATTAAATTTTTATTTTTTGTAGAGACAGGAGTCTCACTGTCGCCAAGCTGGAATTTAGTGGTGCGATCATAGCTTACTGTAACTTCCAACTCCTGGGCTCAAGTGATCCTCTCACCTCAGCCTCCCAAGTAGCTGGACCATAGGCATGCACCACCACACCTGGCTCATTGTTTTATTTTTGTAGAGACAATGTCTTGCTTTTTTGCCCACATTGGTCTTGAACTCCTGGTCTCAAGCAATCCTCCTGCCTTGGCTTCCAAAAGTGGTGGGATTACAGGCTGAACCACCGCACTCAGCCTATCAATCTTAGAACATGAAACTTGTACTCATTGTCAGTCACTTCCCATCTTCTCCTCCCAGTCCCCCACCCTCACCCCGGCAACCATTAATCTACTTTCTGTCTTTCCAGATTTGCATATCCTTTAGCCTTTAGTTTATATAAATGGAACCATACAGCATGTAGAACTTTATGACTGACTTTTTTCACTTAGCATAATGTATTCATGGCTCATTCACATTTCAGTACCTTATATTTCTTTCTTTTTTTGAGTTGGAGTCTGATTCCATCTCCCCTGGAGTACAGTGGCACACTCATGGCCACCCCGGTCTTGACCTGCTGGGCTCAGGCAATCCTTCTGCCTCTGCCTTCCAAGTAGCCGGAACTACAGGTGCGTGCCACCATGCCCAGCTAATTTTTAAAAAAATTTATTGTAGAGATGAGGTCTCAACAAGTTGCCCAGGCTGTTCTCGAACGCATGGCCTCAGGCAATCCCTTCACCTCAGCTTCCCAAAGTGCTGGGATTACAGGCTTGAGCCACCATACCCAGCCCATATTTCTTTTTATGGCTGAATGATGTATTGCTGTATGGATACACATTTTATTTATCAGATGATAAACAACTGGGTTGCTTCCACTTTTTTGGCTATTGAGAATCATGCTGGTATGAACGTGTGTGCGCGAGTTTTTGTGTGGACATGTTTTGTCAGTTTCTTGGGCATAAACCTAGGAATGGAATTGCTGGGTCGTACAGTTACTAGATGTTTAGCTTTTTGTTAACTGCCAGACTTTATTCCAAAGTGACTGAACCATTTTATATTCCTCCTCAGCGCCACACATGGGTTCTGATTTCGCTGTATTTTCACAAACACTTGTTATTATCTGTCTTCTTAATTATACCCACCCTAGTGGGTATGAAGAGGTATCCCACTGCAGTTGTGATTTGCATTTCTCTGACTGCTAACACAGAATTCTTTAGAAGATGGCAATGCAGGGGAATGATGCAGGAGAAAGTACTATGTATGTTTAAAAATAACACTATTTTAGAACTACTTTAGAACTTACACATTTTATTGGTTCAGAGCAAACGTCCACATTGGAAAAAAATGCTCTTAGATTGCTTCCACAAAATTCACACTCAGGGGGTGACAACTCCTCTTCATCCTTCAGAGAGAGAAAAAAAATAAAGCAAAAGAGAAAGTGCTATGTTTCTTTTTTCTGTTTTGTAAGTTAGGCTCTCACTCTGTTGCTAAGGTCGGAGTACAGTGGCACAATCACGGCTCACTACAGCCTTAAACTCCTGGGCTCAATCCTTCGCCTCAGACTCTTGAGTAGCTAGGACTACAGGCACACACTACCACGCTTAGCTAATTATTATGATTATTTTTTTAGAGACGAGGCTTGCTATGTTGTCCAGGCTGGTCTCAAACTCCTTGGCTCAAGCAATCCTCCTGCCTCGGCCTCCCAAAGTGCTGGGATTACAGGTGTGAACCATGGCGCCTGGCTGAAGGTGCTGTGTTTCAATAAAGAATTTCAGCCTGAAGAGTCTATCGAGTGACCATAAAGATTAGAAATTTGGGTAAATATAAACAGTGAGTGCTTATCGATATTACAATTCATGGTATATTTCAAGCATTGCCCCTCATGAGCATCGCAGAGTTCCACATGCTGTAGAAAATGGCCCTGGACGACCACGTCAGCACATCCATCCAGCATTTCCATCAGTCCTACACACGCATCCACTTCTTACTGTCAACGAACAGATTTGCACCTCTGTCATACCCAGGAAGTCATCAGGAGGGTTCAGGTCCAGGGAATAGGAAGTTCTCCCCACATGGTCATGGCATCCAATCTAGGTATGGAAAAACATTCTACCTGTCAGTCCCCAGTCACTCTGGGAGTGTGGGATGGTGCAACATCCTGTTGGAATTACTAGGGCAACCTTTATCTCACCTGTCAAGCATAGGCGTTAATTGGTCACTTAACATGATCAAATACGACAAATGTTCGTTCACCTAGGTTTCCAGGCTTTGTAACCCCATTACAGATTGAATTATGTCCCTCGAAAAGGTATGTTGAGGTCCTAACTCCCGGTCCCTGTGAACGTGACCTTATTTAGAAATACAGTCTTATCCGGGCTTGGTGGCTCAGCCTGTAATCCCGCGCCTTTGGGAGGCTGAGGCGAGT